GCAGCACCCGCCGGGTCAGGTTTAGAAGGGCTGAGACATCTACGTGCCTGTGAACCATTGCCTCCAGGCGACGAAAAGTACAGAGCGACTGGGGTTCCAGAGCACCTCACGGCCGCTGTTCCGTGGGTGTGAGCGGGAAACCGTCCACCCACCGGCTCGCGTGGCTGGGAAAAGCGACAGTCCCTTACCAGCGCAGGAGCGATACGCTCCTCCCTTCTCCGCCTCTTCCCCCCCTCAGCAGCGGAACCGGCCCTTTCAGTCACGGGGCGGGGCCTGGCTGAGGGCGGGAAAGAGGGTTCGCGTGAGGTGTGGAAGACTAGGTGTGTGTCGTCGCCATGTTGCGTAAACTGACCGAGGAGCAGATTAATGACTGGTTCGCCATAGGCAAAACTGTGACTGCCGTCGAGTTATTGGGCGGCACGCTGCCCAGTCACTCCCGTGCCCCTCTTGCTATGCAGGAGCCATTAGCAGCTGTAGGGTAAGTGTGGAGTACTGGGCTGCTGATTTTAGCAGCCAGAGAGATGCTCCTTATGCTTGGAATGAAGGGTTGTCTGTGAAGGTACGTGTGGCCTCCCTTCCCTGGAAAGCATGTTTGTGGGCCCGGGTGTGCAGGGTGTTTTTCCATGGTCTGGACTGGCTCTGGTGCCTCGCCCACTCCATGTGGGCCTGGATGGTGGGTTGTCATATTCCAGCTTAACATCCTCAATAATGTTTGTAGTTGTTAAATAAAGCCAGTAACATTTCTGTTATACTTAGGGTTTGGCAAGAGGTTCTTGAACCCAGCTGAACACTAAGCCGTTGACATCTACTAAGTAACATAAGAGAAATTAGCATGATTGATCGAGCCTGGTCTGCCTAGGCAGAGGCAAATCTTTTGTCTTTGATTAGACAGATAGCTTTTTCCATTCAAAAGCCTGAGCAGGTAACACAACAGCCAGGCCCCACATATAGGTTAACAGAATTTACTTTCACAGGTTGTTTTTTTTCTGTTTTTCTTTCCCATCTATAGAACAGAGAGAGGGGTTATGCACCCTAAATAGCCATTTCTGTATGTGTGGACAGAATTTCTCATCATTAGACATGTATAAAATCTTTGAGCATAGATGATAGGTGCGTGTGTGTTCTGCTGCATAATGAAAAGAAAAAGGTGTGTTTCCTTAGCTATGTTTTGTTTCACAGTTCTGGAAATGTGCTTACATTTAGGGAGGTTTTGAAAAACTTCAGTTCTGGAAGGGTTTAGGATCCGTCAGAAGATGTTCCAGTTTTATTCACTGGTTTCATAAGAAAGAGTTTGAAGAGCTGAAAACAAAAGAGTTTCTCTCTAACTTAGGCTGCTTGTAGCATAATAGTCTATTTTACTATTCCAGAATCTTTGTTTGTTTCTTGGGAAAATCAAACCAAAAATTGCTTCAAATTTTTTAAGTGCTTATTTATATTTGCTTCAAGCAGGATATGCTATTAGTGATGGAGATAGCTTTCCTACTTCTTCCATCTAAGTTTATATGTAAGAATATGTATGATTAATACCAAATTTGTAATGATAATAATAGGTGTGTTACTGCACACAAATGTGTGTAATAACTGATATTTTATGGAGTTGTTACTGAGACGGTGTAATGGGATCTGAAAGCCTCACCTCTCCCTTAAAAAGACTTGTAGAAGGTGTTTTCTTCCTCTGCCAATGATGCCTTGTTTTCCAAGGCTTTGAAGGTTATCTTGTTAACTATCTCTAGTGTAGCAGTATTAGTAATTGAGCATTTTAAGGAAAGATAATAGGTCTCAGAAATTGTAGTTGTAATTCTGATGCTTAAATAGCTGGTTGATGAACTTTTTAATTTATATGAATATATTTAACTGAATGGAAAGTAATTCAGACCGTTAAATCCTTCCTTGTTATCAAAACAGTTGTGGCTCACATTAAAACCCTTAAAGGCTTAAGTATAGAAAAAATGGTTATTCTTTCTTTGATTTCTTGGATTTCATAGGTGTAGCTTTCACTAAGTTAGCCCTTTTTTATAGCCACCTTATTTAGCTGAAAACATTGCATGCTGTTTGTTTTACCCATTGATACCGTTATCACTCACCTTTATGTAACCTGAGTAGTGTGTGTTGGCTGCCTGCCCATTTCAGAAATGCCAGCTGGGAGAGTTTAAGCAACAGAACAGTTTCAGATCTGCTCATGCAAACCATGTAAGTCATAAATAAAAAGTGATTAAAGAAACAGTTGAGTTCTCAGCCAGTTATCTTCAGGGAAATGATGACTTACCTGTGGCCATCTTACTGGTACCTGACATAAGGGTAAACTGAATTCCAGAAAATAGCTCATCTTGGCTAGCAGACTGAGGTGCAGATTCACTTTACAGCATTCTGCAGTAAACCTGGCAGATACCTTTAAAGTACATTTGACTTTATTTAGCTTGTCTTTGTGCTCTTATACCTTTTCTTTTTCTATGCTTCTCTCCACTTTTTAGCTAGAGAGAATACCTAATACTTCCATCAGATTAAAGTGTTCATACTCTGTATAGCTGCCTCTTATTTCTGTATTTGAAAAAAATGGACAAAGTGAGGTCTTAGTGGCAGGCATTTTCCCATCCTCTGGATAAATTTATTAACTGTACCCTCTCCAGTTCCCAGTTTGGTTTCTCATTTCTCCCCAAGTGTGGACACTAGAACTGGATGCAGTAGCCTGGTATCAGTTTCATTGATAGAGCATGCATATGAAAGTAGGTAAGCATTTTTGTGTGTTTCCTTAGCATTTCATTGGGATTTAACACTAAATTGGGTCTGATGCCTAGATATATTTAATTATTATCTAGTGACTGCCTTTTAGCATATGGTGTAGTTGATGGTCCTTGTGGACTTAGAAGACTGCCTTTCCTTATATTAAAGTGAAATTTACGAAGATTGGGTCAGCTGTGTCTGGTTTTTTTGGTGGTGTCATTTTTGTTGTGTGGTTTTGTTTTTTTTCTCCTTCCCCTACCTGTTTTTGATGATCATAAAGGTAAGCGGACTTTGCATCTTTAGTAGCCAACCATTTTCCTTAAAATAAAATTTGTAAGTTAGATTTTTAGGGCTTTTTTCACTTATTTTCCATTAGAAAGCTGTGAGGGTACTGTTTTGGGAAACAGATTTACATGAATTACCATTGCAGGAATCTTTCACCTTTGACCAAATAAAAATTATCTTCTGAAACCATTATTGTGGTTACCTTCTTTACTAGGGGAACTGTACTTAAGTTTAATTTTCTGGGGAGTTTTACGACTAAGGAGAAACGTTTCTTTCAAACCATTCCTGCCCTCATGCAGGGATTCTTGTCTGGATTGTTTAGAACTGCATGAGAAGAATCTGATGCCCTTTATTGTACGTCATAAGGCAGAGTAAGTTTAGATCAATACTTTTGCTATTTATCAATAAACTGGTCACTGCACAAAAGGAGGGTGAAGTGTTTGTACCAGATCTGAGTGCAGATATAATGAGTGAAGCTGTGTGTTTTTAATTTATGGAAAGTTCAATACTTTTGGTATTGAGCTGCAACTTTTTATTCTAAATTTGTCAGAACTGATTTGGTCTAGTTCTCTAGTGCTTTGGCCCTTAGGTGTCTGCAGTAGTTGTGATTGTTTCACCTTCTCTGTATATTATGTTCCTCTCTTACATATTAAATGTTTTCTAGATTCCAGGCTTTCCAAAGGTGTGGGTTGGTTTGTGTCAGTGTTTTTATTTCTTATGAAAATACTCTGCCATTTGTTTCACCCAATTTATGTTGAATTATTAGTAAATTCTCTCTTGGGTGAGGGTACAGCTGTGCAGCACAAGGAAATACCTTCTAGTTGTATTACCACCTTGAGAGAATCTGTGTGTTTTCTTCAGTATGTTTGAATCAAATATCAGAGGAAGCAATTTTACTGCATGTTTGCAAAAAAGTGTTTTGTGAATTGGGCTGTATGAGTCTTGCCCATTCTTTATGGTGCTGCAGACAGATTAAAAGGAAATCTGGAGATGAAGAGGTTACATAAGACAAGTAAGAATTTTTCTATACAGTGGTAGGAAGTGTAGTAAACTGAGTTCTGGCATATGTTTTCATTGATTTTCTGCTCCAGTTGTCTGCTGTGACTGTAACTGCTACATATCAAATCAGTCTTATAAAACTTTATTATGAATCCACAATGATAGATGATGGCAACTGAAAACCATGAAATTTTGTTAAATTTAAAATGGTCACGTCTTGCCTTGGAATTGATCTGACGATTCTTCTGATATTCTATAAAAGTACTGATTTGATGAAAACGTTGAAATTTAATGCAGGCTCTTGAGTTTCCAAGTAGCTTCCAATAAGTCAAATGTAAAACTTTCTGAAATAAAAAAAATCATTGATTTCTGGAAGAACAGAGAGCTAGTTCTTGAATGTTGTTAAATGTTTGATGTTTTCGTTTAGTTGTCTACTGTTACTGTACTTAAGCACATGTGGGGTACAGGTCAGGTTAAAAAAAAATAGGAACACCACGTGCAGTGTGTTATAATTTCAGACGTTGTTTTCATTTTAGAATAGTTCTTGACTTTGAGAAATAACTGTTCAGCCCCAAAATGTATTTAACAGTTTATTTGGTATAACTGATACTATATTAAACCATTTATTTTACACAGTATAAAGTTCCCATAAAGCCTAAAAGCTATGTGACATATACAGAGGCGTTTGCCTAAATCTTTGTGGATTGATGCTAATTCAGAATATGAAAAGCAGTCTTTTCTTGTTTAAATATGTCTAGCCCTATATGGCTAATCTATGTTTTTGATTAAAAGGTGTCTCCAAACACAATATCTGTAAGGAACCATAAGTATAGAAGGACTTTTGTTTACTGCATACTAGCTCTAATCAAGGATTTTAATTTCTGAACTTGGGAAAAAAGAGGAGCATGGCACATTTCTTATTCCCATGTTTGTGGATGGCAGTCACAAGAAAGCAATGTTGAAGGCTACATCGCTTTTTTGAAAGACAAACTAACTTAACCTGATGGGTAGTAATAGGGTAGATTCCAGATTCTATCAGAGAAGGTGGGAAACATGCTTTGTGTATTTTTGTCGACATAACTTGAAACCGTGGGAATTTCATCTTTGTCAGATTTGTTAGAACTGTCTCCACGCAGGCTGAAATGGTCAGAGCAATTTGTATTCCATGCATCTACCAGTTGGTCTTGTTGATTTTCTCTCTCACTGGTGGCAAGAAAATCTTTCAAAACTTGCTTGAATGTGTAGACTATTTCCCAGGGTAAAACATCATTTTCTGCCAAAACTTCACGAAATCTAGAAACAAAGAAAAATTTAAATCTAATCATCAGTGCTGAAAACGCTTCTGTTTCCTCTCTGCTCTTTGGGGGCAGGGGAAAGGAGGAGGAAGTGGCTGCATTCTAGTGTCATTTATTCCTTGCTGCCACATTTCCCCACCCCCCAAAAGATTACAAGAGGAAGAGAGCTCTAACAATGTACTGGATGTGGTCCAGCTGTTATGAGAATTGAAAGCTACTGTTATTGGGCATGCTTTATTTTTTTTCTTTAGCCCATCTGTGTAGCTTGATTTAAACTGATTTTGCCCTTAGGTATATCCTGGGCTTTAAAAGGTACATAGCCTTGTTTGGTTGTTTCTGCATGTCCCTAAGAAAATGTTCTTAAAATACAGACAGAGGTGAATTTTTCTTTGTAAAATATGGGGGATTTATTTGTTTTTTAAAAAAGTTTTGTGTTTGGTTTTGGTTGGTTTTTTTTTATACTGATTTGCTACTTTGAGAGTTATTTGCCAGTGAACCTGCATTTCTGCATAACAGTGCATTTCATTAGTCCTTTAATTTGATTTTTGGTTGTTGGATTACTATTTAATAAATTATGGGGATAGATAACTGAGGAAAATCTGAAGGTATTGGGGGGTCATATGTTCAAGCATGTGATACTTCCCGTGCTTTGTGTTATGCCAGGAAAATCCTGATTAAAAATTTCCTTCAAGTACAGCATATTAAAGATGTAATTTTTAAAACACCTGTGAAAGTGTGTTCTAGTTGCTGGTCATTGTTACTTTGGATGAAAGATCAGAGCCAAATATAAGCTTGGATTAAGTAGAAGAAACATTTATGATAGAGTAGTCAAAGTAAAATAATTACCTGCTGAGAACAGCTCCTGTTTGGTAAGGCTGGATTTGTGAGCACAGAACTTCAAGCTGCCGTTGCTCAGTAGCTGGAATTGTTGCTTGAGGGTTTTGATAGTTCTTCAGCCAGTTGTAATCCATGCCAGTCTTCTGGGCTTTTTGTTCATTTTCAATCTCTTGCACTAGTCTTTCACGCTCTTTCAGATGCCATTTTAATTCCCTCAGTAGGGTTTTTATAACTACTTCTGATCCAGGATATCTTGTGGGTTTGTAGGAATCATTTTTTGACCATTTCATCCAGCCAAAAAGTGGCATTTTTAAGCTGGGGTGGGGGAGGAAAGTTTGTTTCTGTCCAACTTATTTATACTGGTAGACTTGCTTCTGAGCAACTGAATGTTTAAAGAAAACTTTATTAATGTTACTAAAATATTTTGCAGTACAGTATGAGTAGTGGTAACAATAATTGCCAAACCATAATTAAATCTGACAAGCCTTTTATAATATTTTCTGTTTTCTGAGTTAACATAAATATGTGAAGTTTACAACATTTAAAGGGCATATCTGTCATCATGGAAATACTTAATTTTTTTATCCTGATTTTAAAAAAAAATATCCAAATCCCACTGAACAAACAAAACCCCTAAAACAAAAAAACCTTCACAAAACCCCCAAACCAATGAAACAGTAACATCCTGTCCCCAAACCAAAACAAAAAGAACCCCAACAAAACGCAGAACCCCAAACCTCCAAAATTTGGTGTTACCTGTACATTTAAAAAGTGATTAAATAAAGTGCTGGAACTCTGCGTGACCTGCTTTTAAAAGCTCTGTATCACTTTTATTTTAAATAAATTCTTCTTTATATAGCCTGGAAGCATAAATCTGGTGGAATAGGCTTTTAAAATGAAGTTACAAATCATGCAGATACAAGTTGAATGCAGATACTAGTTGGAATAAATTAACATAAATTACCTTTGCAATTGTCCGTCAACAGTGTTGTTTCAGGTGAATTTGCTTGAAGTTCTCTTACTCTAGCATATTCTGTTTCCAGGGTTTTACTGCTGGAAGAAAACAAGGTGGTTTTCTCTTTTCCTTTTTTTTTTTTTTTTTTTTTTCCTTTTTCATTTACCCAAACTGTGCTTAGAAAAATGACTTCCTGTACTGAATATGACAGTTTAAGGTTTTCTGCTTTTAAGGTTCTTTTTCATCTTCTCTACCAGAGAGAAGTAGTAATCCATTTAACCTAACATGGTCTCTCAGATACTTTCTACAAAGTCCATTAAAATCTCCTACCTTTGAATTGAGTTCTGCTGATGGCAGCAATATAAAAAAAGACGGTGACAATTTCAAATGCTTGTTGCTAAATCCATCCAAAGGTATTCTTGGTAGTGAGATGAATAACGATAGTCTGAAGTAACCACAGACGTGCTTCTAGCTAAAGTTAAGGCTGTCGTATGATGTGATGCTTGGCTGTGCATAGCTGTAGGTCACAGTTTAGAGCTGTATTTTTATGCCTGTAGAGTGCTAAAAATAACTATGTTGCTTTTATCATCAAACTATACTTTCAGGCCATTGAGATGCTGGAAGACTTATCTCCCATTACAGGGGCTGTTCTGCTGTCACTTTTAAACAGCTAAGAATAGTTTTTCTGTAGTAAAGATCATCTAAAGCCTTTGTTAAGCAAGTGTTGACAGAAAAGAGCTATTTGACAGTTGCTCAGGATTTTGTTGCTATATTAAATACTTCTTCCAGATGAATTTCATTAATCTCATGGTAGTACATTTTTTTATTAATACATAGCTGTTAGCATTTTTAATTAACATTTCATATGTGTTTAAAGAAGCCAGTCTGTAACCTACGGTGTGCCATGCAAGATACATGAATCTAATTAAAGGAATAGAATTATAAAGAAAAGTGAATTAAGGTCAAACTGATCTCAGAATTGTCTTACCATGGACATTGCTTCTTCTCAACTGGCTGTCAGTTTCCTGCTCCCTCTTGGTGAGTTTTTTGAGTATATCCATTTTCAGGATTCATTTCTTGGGATGGCATTGTGCACAGTAAAGGTCGCTGAAGCAGCCGTTTTCCATTCCAGTAATCTGGTCTCTTCCTATTAATCTAAACAGTAGTCATGGTCTGCAAAATGCCTTCTCTTCTGTTTGTTCTTGTTCTAATGACTGTCTTTGCTCCTGTAAGTATTTTTCATTCCTACTTTTTTGCCTTCGTTGGTGTGTTGAATTGTTGGGAGAGCAAAGGTTCTGTAAATTTGTTCTAGATGTCATACAACATAAAGGATGACGTGTATGGCTGTTATTAAAGTTGATACTGCTTATACATTGGAAAAATTCAAATGTCAGTATTAATCCTCTTTAACTGGAAGGTTTTCACATTGCATTCTATGTGGTACTGTGAAAAGGAAGGGAGGTAGGTTTATGATGACAGACCTGTCCTAGCAGATTTTCAGATGAAAGTAAAATGCTCCTTGCCACCTCCTTTACAGCACAGCTAACATGTCTCCACTTTTTTCCCCACTCTATCAAATCTGAAAGAAAACTGCTGTACAGTGTAAAACCATTGTAGTGTCTTTGCAAATTAGAGCTGCATGCTGGAAGGTGTGCAAATTAATAGAGAAACCTACTCCAGTTGGTTTTGTGGTTTGTTGAGGGAGAGGGTTTGGGTTTTTTACCTAATTGTTGGTTGTATCCTCAAACTTTGTGACAGGATACTGAGAGTGATATTTATCTTTACATTGGTAGGAGAACATTAAAGCTGAAAATCTGTAGTGCTTCTACTTCTGTATGCATTTCAGATGTGTGTTCAAGAAGAGATGACTGTTTATGTGAGGCAGGCATTGAGAACTGGAACTTAAAAACAGAGCAGTATTTTTTGCAGTTGTTAGCCAGCAGCTAATCCTGGAAGCTTTGTGGAAAGTTACAGTTCCATCCAACTATACCTAGTTTTGCAATGCTGTGTTAGGATAGAAGTTTTGGCTCAGTTTTGGCTGGGTCTGTTCTCTGAGGGCATTGCTCATTACTGAGTTTCTGTTTATTAGTAGCTAGTTATAATTTGACCTGGGGGAAGGAGAAAGGGCTATATTGTGATTCTTCTCAGCATTTTGTGGGCAATTTCTGAAATTGCAATAATAAAATGTCAAATGGTATGAAGTCTTTTACTACTGTCTTTAGGTTTCTAGCTTTTTTTTTTTTTTTTTAATGTTCTTCGACTCTTCATTGTTGGGGAATGGCATTTTAGTCTCTGTAACATTCATCTAACAATCTTGTGCTTTCCTTCAGTCTGTAAATTTAGATAAGCTGGAGATGCCATGGTTTTAAAGCTATTTGTGGTCTTAAGCTTCTGAATCCCTCTTGTCTTTGGCATTTTGTGACATTACTTACTTCTGTAAATTTTCTAAAAGTTTCAGTCCTAGAACTTCTTTCTTACTTACCAAACCAATATCTCTACCGTTTCAGTTTCCCTTTTCTGAATTGTTCTTTGCTGCTGTTAGTGACTAAAACACACTGTAATACTCGAGTGAGACTAGCTATAGAATGAGTAATTTTTGTCTTTTTTTTTTAGTAATCCATATTGTACTCTGCTGCTGGAGCAGAGCATTTGTTTATGAATTGGTTTGTTTTTTTTTTTTTCCCTGTAAATTAACCCCAACTGTCTGTCTGTCTAATTAAATGTTAAGTGAAGATTCTTTGAACTTTTTTAAACTTTCTTTCAACCTCTTTTTACTTTGTTTTCCTAATTTGGGGGAAGGAATGTAATGAATTTCTAAAGCATCTGTTCTTTCTGTAACTTAATTGTCTTTGAACTGCAGTGAGCAATATCTACTCTTATGTAGGTAAATGAGAATGGGTGTCTTTTCATATAAGTGTTTCTTGTCTTTTCCTTAAGATAGCTGTTCCTTTTTCTGTAGCTTATTTTAGGCTTGTTACCTGATGCTGTTCTCAAATTGAACTGAGGGAACAGCAAGGGTTGCTAGAGCCAAACTGGAGATTTCCTTTCATAAATCAGTTCAGACAGTTTTAGTGGTTTTTCCTTTCTTGTTATGGCAGCTTCGGGTTCCTCAGCAGAGTCTTATTCCAAAAAAATAGCCTTACAGGAGCACATGCTAATTGAAAATTGGGGAAATAAGGGTGGCAACTGGTGGATAAAATAGAATCTTTTTCCTTGCATCCCTGTGTAAGACTGGTTATTTATTTATATTTTATAATGGCTATGTACAGAGCACTTGAAAACCTTGGTGTTAGCTTATTTTTATCCTGTGGACTTCATGGTACCATGTGGAGAAGCTCTGATTGTGCGGACATCTGTGCTGTCAGAGCATATGAAAAATAAACTCACCTTAGGAGTGGTTGAATAGAGCTAGGCAATCTAAAATAGGTTTGTGTGGCAGAACTTGCATAAGGAGGTTGTTAAACTGGTGCGTAAGTATAAATGAGTGAAGACAATGAGAAAATGAACATGAGCTGGCTTCAGTGTGCGCTTGCAGCCCAGAAAGCCAACCATATCCTAGGCTGCATCAAAAGGAGCGTGACCAGCAGGTTGAAGGAGGTGATCCTGCTCCTCTGCTCTGCTCTTGTGAGACCTCACCTGGAGTATTTTGTGCAGTTCTGGTGTCCTCAACATAAAAAGGACATGGAACTGTTGGAACAAGTCCAGAGAAGGGCCACGAGAAAGATCAGGGGACTGGAGCACCTCCCGTATGAAGATAGGCTGAGAAAGTTGGGGCTGTTCAGCCTGGAGAAGAGAAGGCTGCGTGGAGACCTCACAGCAGCCTTCCAGTATCTGAAAGGGACCGATAAGGATGCTTGGGGAGGGACTCTTCATTAGGGACTATAATGATAGGAGAAGGGATAACGAGTTAAAACTTAAACAGGGGAGGTTCAGATTGGATTCAAGGAGGAAATTCTTTCCTGTTAGGGTAGTGAGGCACTGGAATGGGTTGCCCAGGGAGGTTGTGAATGCTCCATCCCTGGCAGTGCTCAAGACCAGATTGGACGAAGCCTTGGGTGATATGGTTTAGTGTGGGGTGTCCCTGCCCATGGCGGGAGGATTGGAACTAGATGATCTTAAGGTCCTTTCCAACCCTAACTATTCTATGATTCTAAGACTGGCACACTTGAAACAATGGAGCAGTCTAAGTTCATCTCTACAATAGTGACTGCTTTGTGGTTAGGATTTCTTATGGGTTATAGTGAATATATTTGTGTTACCCATGGCTTTTACCTGTGCTTTTTTCCTGACATTTGCCTTCCAAATACAAAAGTGAGGAATCATTGAGGTAGTATAACCCACATTCCCGTAGTC